TTTTTTTAGATACAAGTTATATTTATTATAAACTTCTTGTACAATTAAATATTTTTTATTATTGAAGATATTTATATTAATATTCCAAAAATGTAAGGAAAAAAAAACTAATAATAAACTATCAATTAAGACAAGTAACAATTTTTTAAATAATTTTTAATATAATGTCAAAATATAGATATAAATAAAAATATATTTTGGATATATGATTATTTTTAAATAAAATTTACTTAAAAAAACTAGAATAATAAAATTGTCGGTTATAAAATTCTTTATAAATTTTCTGATAACTTTTATATAATATCAAATTACATCAAAATAGAATATAGTAATATATGACTATTTTTAAATAAATCCCACTTAAGATAAAACTAAAATAATAAAATTGTCAATTATAAGATCAGTTATCATTTTTCAAATAACTTTTATATTACCGAATATATTAAAAGGGAATATAAGTGTGATTCATGATTATTTTTATATAAAAGCCATTTTAAAAAAATAAAATAAAATAATAAAACTATCAATTATATTATCAATTATAATTTATTTAATGACTTACATAATCTCAATATATATAAATATATATTAGATATAGAAATCTTTTTAAATAAAATACTAACAAATTAAAATAATAAATTTGTCAATTAAAAGATCTATCACAATTTTTTAGATAATTTTTATATAATGTCACAAAAATCAAAACATATATAAATGAGATATATGACAATTTTATTTTAAATAAAGTTCACTTAAAAAATAAAATAAAACTGTTGATTAGAAAATCAGTTATCAAATCTCAAATAATTTTTATATAATGTCCATATATATAATATATATAAATGAGATATATAATTATTTTTAAATAAAATTCACTTGAAAAAAAATTGTCAATTTCAAGATAAAATATAATTTTTTAGATAATTTTTTTATAGAGTGTCAGAGTATATCAATATTTTAATATTATTGAAGAATTTATACTAAAATTTAAAAAATGTAAGAAAGAAAAAGAAAAAGCTATCAATTATAAGACTAGTAACAAATTTTCAAATAATTTTTAATATAATAATTAAAAAAATATATATCTATAAAGATTTATATTGGATATATGACTAATTTTAAATAAAACTTACTTTAAAAAACTAGAATAATAAAATTGTTAATTATAAAATTATTTTTAAATTTTTAAATAACTTTTATATAATGTCAGAGTATATCAAAATATAATATAATGATATATATAACTATTTCTAAATAAATCCCATTTAAAAGAAAATTAAAATAACAAAATTGACAATTACAAAATAGTTATCATTTTTCAAATAACTTTTATAATGTTGAATATATTAAAAGTTAATATAATTTGATTCATGAGATATAGAACTATTTTTAAATAATACCTATTTGAAAAAACTAAAAACTGTTCATTTCAAAATTATTTGCAATTTTCTAAATAACTTTTATAATGTCAGAGAACATTAAATTGAATGTTCCCATCTTTTTATTAGATATAAAATACTCTATATTTATAATAAATTTCTTATATGATTTAATAATTTTTTTATATTATCTAACATATTTAAATCAATGTTTCATATCATATGTGATTTTATTTATACAAAAGTTTAGGATTTTTAGATAAGAGTTTTTGGAGGTTTTTGAAAATTTGAAAGTTTAAAAAAAAGTAAAAAATTAATATTTAATTTGATGTTTGGTGAAAAAAAAAAATGTATTTGATGTGATTCTTTTTAAAAAATAAATAGTGTTGAATAAGTGAATAAACTAATATTTTTTGATATTTTTGTACATTATTTAAACATATCTTTGAAGCTACAAATTCTCAATTATTTTTATATTATATCAAAAATATAATATATATATATATATATATGAGATGTATAATTATTTTTAAATAAAATCTACTAGAATAATAAAACTGCTAACTTTTAAAACTATTTGCAATTTTTTAAATAACTTTTATAATGTAAAAAAATATCGAATTCAGTGCTCCTATCTTTATATTAGAGACAAAATATTTCATATTTATAATAAATTTTTGTATAATTTAATAACTTTTTTTTTTTAAAATATTAGTTAACATATTTGTATCAATGTTCACATAAATATCACATATGATTTTACTACATACAAAATTTTAGTAAAATTTGTACATTATTTAAACATGTTTTTAAAGTTACAAAATTTCAATTAATTTTTATATTATATATATGAAATACATAACTGTTTTTAAATAAAATTCATTTGAGAAAATTAAATAATAATGTCAAATGATATCAAATTCAATGCTCATATTTTTTAATTAGATACAAAATCCTACATATTTATAATAAATTTCTTGTATAATGTAATAATTTATTTATTTTATTGACATGTTTATATCAATGTTTCATAAATGTCACATATGATTTTACTACATACAAAGTTTAATAAAAATTTTACATTATTTAAACATACTTTTTGAAGTTACAAAATTTCAATTAATTTTTATATTATATCAATATATATATATATATATAACATATATATTTATATCAATGTTCCCTAAATATCACATATGATTTTACTACACTCAAGAGTTTAATGAAATTTGTACATTACAACATACTTTAAAATTAGAATATACTTCCTCAGTCATGCAAATGTGTGCTCATTTGATCGGGTACGGGTTTTAATAAAAATGAGTAATAATTATTAATTTTTTCTTTTATAGTAAAAAATAGTACAAAAAAATAGAATGATTTTTTATTTAAAAAAGAAATTAGAATATTTTCCGATGACAACCTAAAAAGAAAAGTGGACATAGATTTAAATAACGGAAGGAGGAATTAAATTTTATTTAGCATGTTTTAATAAATATCAATATATAAATATAAATGTCCATACTTTTGGTGTGGTGACATTGAATTAAATAATTTGGATAATGTAATAAGGTTCCATGCATCTATCACTATAAGATGCATCCACTCCATGTGGTTTTAATTTTGACCCCTTTGACTCTTTTAACACTTACAAAATTAATATTTTGATATATATATATATATATATTATTGGATATATGAGAATTTGTAATTGTTATTTTTTAGTATGCTTTTAGTAATTTCGATCGAACCTAATAGTGTGCAAACAAAGTCAAGGAAAAATAAATCAAAATATAACTTAAGAATACAATACTCGGTTTATAAAATATTGCTTCAAATACTTAAAAAATTTGTTTGGTTTTTAGAGAGATTTGAATTAAAGTATTTTAAATAACTCCGTCGAATTAATTAATTTCATTTGAAAATGTGATGAATTTTAAAATTTTCAATATTGGTTGTGAAATTCAAATTCACCCCTTTAATATATCAAATATATTAAAGAAAATATATATTTTTACATAGATATGTTTGTTTTAGTTATATTTACTTTAAGCTTTCACAATTTCAATAAACAATTAAAACACAAATTTTTTATAAAAATTTATTATTCTCTCCCTTCGCTTTTAAGGGTCAGATTTACCTTTTACGTCATTGTACTTAACGTTGAAAATATACTTATATTTGTATAATTTTTTTTTTACAAATATTCTTCTATTAGTATTATAAGACACCAATAGAAATATTTTTGCAATTTTTTTTTTTTAATTTGTACTAGGTTTTGATATAATAATTAATATTCAAATATCAACATACAAAAAAATAAATGAGATCCTTAGAGCCGGACGGAGATAATATTATTTTTCCGCATAAAATAAGCCAAACAAGCCATTTACTTTTGAGCTACTTCATGATGGATATATTCTATAATTCGTAGTTTTAGGACGTGTTTGGTTTGTATTTGAAATCAAAATTATTAATATTATACCTTTAGTCCTCACAACTCCAAGATACATATATATACGTGTGTATATATATATATATATATTATACTAATTATGTGACATTACAATCTATAATATTATTTTAATAGATTATATAATAATAAAACTAATTATATAATAATAATATTAATGAATATCACGTTTACTTTACTTATAAAATATATGATAATATCAACTTTTAGTATATATATATTACTTGAGATAAATTAATTTTACTGGTATAATTAATTATCCCTAGTTAATATATATATCATTATATTGGACTTTAATAATATTTTCAAACTTTAGAAAGTTAAAATAACCAAGTGATTAAATTATATAAAATAATAATATTATTTACTATAATCATATAAACTATATATATATATATATATATCATTTGCCCTAGTCTGAATTATTTGGTGACAAAGGATTCCAACCATGCATGCTATAGTGATAAAATAGAGTGTTTATTTGGCATTTCTATTTATTTTTTTTTTTATTTAGACTTTATATTTTATATATATATATATTTATAATAGTCTTATTTACCATTTTTGTCCGTTTTAAAACAATAGTCTCATTTCCATAAATATTTATATCACCATAAAATTATCCTTACTTTTTCATTATTATTACACAAATGTCACTACTTTTTATACTATTACACTCATAAGGACAAAAAAGTCTTTTATTCATATTTTTTTTACCAACTATCAATATAATATCAATATTTTTCAAATCTCGTACCCAACTCAAATAAGAACCATAGTCTTGGGACGGAAGGAGTATTATTTAATCCAAATATAAGGTTTTCAACCCAACCCAACCCAAAATCAAACAAACCCACCTATGAAATTTAGTTTGAAAACCCAAAAAAGAGGCCCAAAACAAATTTTTAGGTAACTTAATTAGAAAAAGAAAATATTAATTTAATCACTTAATCACATTAAAAAGTAACAACAGCCACGACCCGGTTGTGTTTGGCAGCTGGTTTGGACAAAATAGGAAATCGAGTTTAAAATTGAAATAGTAAAAATTTAAATTTAACTTATTGTTTAATATAAAATTAAATTTTAATATAACATAAAAATAAAAAAATAAAAAAATTACCAGAGAACGCTCAAACACATTCATAGTATAACAATTTCAAATTATTAATATATACATAAGCAAAATATGATATGAGCAAATATTTTAAAAACGACGTCGTTCCATGCAATGGATGAACGAACAAACACCTCAAAACAGAGTCCCTTCATTATTAGTTATTACACTTACCAAAGACTGTTTTCATTCCCTTTGTATTTTTCAATCATCCTTTCTTCTTACTCCACAGCCCTCGGGACAGCCTCGGCCTGCACCGTATCGACATCGATTGCATCAAAATCGACAATGTACGTAATTCGAACAACCTAAGATCGAATCAACCGAAATTCAGATCGAAAGTGCCCGAAAAACTTACCAAATGTCGATACTTGAGAGCGTAAAACATCTCAAGATATCGCCGGATCTCGAGCCGGTCGAGCTTCGACACGTACTTCCAAAACCCGTAAACGCCAGCCAACGTCAGCAGCCTGTCCGAATAGATCTGCCACGTGTACCTGCAGACAGACAGCACGATCACGCGTCGTCATTGCATCGATTCGTTCGTGTAATAAGATTACTCACTTCTCGCGGATACGTTCGAGGCCTCCGGCAGAGATGCTGTCCCAATACGACGGCTCCTTCTTACACCGATTGAAGAAGTTCACGAGAACCTCGGCCACCTGGCCCCCGTTGTAGGGGTCGATGTGGAATCCCGACTTCCCGTCGACGATGATCTCGGCGGGCCCGCCGTGGAGCGTCGCGAACGTCGGGAGCCCGCATGTCATCGCCTCGACGACCGTAAGCCCGAAGGCCTCATAGAACGCGGGCTGGACAAAAATGCCCCTCGTGTCGGCGACACATCGATAGAGCTCGCCGTTGCGGACCCGGTTCATTTGGGAGGAGACCCACCGGAATTGGCCGTTGAGATTGTACTCGTCGATGAGGCCGTACATCTTCTTCATCTCCGCTTGCTCCTCGGCGTCTTTCGACTCTTTCCTCCGGTCGCCGCCGACGATGACGAGGTTCGCGAGCTCCCGTAGCTTTGGAGTCTTGGCGTATAGCTCGACGAGCCCCGTTAGGTTCTTGACGCGGTCGAGCCTCGCCATTGTGAATATGATCGGCTTCGTCTTGTCTTTCAGGACACACCTGACATGGCCGAAACAGATCAAAACGTTGGGACATACAGTGGAATCGAAACGCGCAAAATGTAATGAAATTTACATGTGTTCGTCGTTCTCGACGTCGCTATAAAGAAGCTCCTCGATCTCAGGATGGAACGCCGTTAGGCGCTTTTCTGTCTCCGTGTACGGGAAATAGAGGTTCGTGTCGGCGCCGGGAGAGACGATGTTGAACTTAGGATCGAACACGTCGATGCCATGGACAACACGGTATAAACCGGGCATCGTGAACGCCATGTGGCTCTCGTATTGTCCGACTGTGTCCTTGCTACGAATTGATGAAAACGAACATTACTCGACGCAAAATATACGAGGTTACAACATATTCGATTTGAGGATATGTATGCGTATATGTCGTTCTAAGAGGCGAACGAACCTTCCGGCGATCTCTTGGAACGTGCTCGTGATGATGAAGTCGGTGTGATTCATCGCGTATAAATCCGCCGTAAATTGGCACGAGAAGTGATACTTCTCATCGTAATTCTTTAGGTATATGTCCGAATCCGGATACTTTGTCTTCTCAAGCGCATGAGCGATCGTACACTATACAACGAACACAATCAACGACAAACTTAACATCATCGAATCGTAACGTATGTTGATAAAACGAAACGATTCGCGTAGAATAATTACCTGCGTTACGCCTAACTTGTGAGCCAACAACGAGGCCGCGAGATTTCCCTCGCTATAATTCCCGATGATCAAATCCGGCTTTGCTTGTAATTCCGATGTAATCTCCTTCGCGACGTCCTACAAGATCGATTTTTTAAAGGTTACGAGCATTTGACAACCGACGAGCACGCCTATATGCAACAAATAGGCAAGTTTTATCGATGACACACCTCGGCGAAAGTTTCCATATACGGCCACACCTCGAATCGAGAAATCCATTTCCGGACGATCCCCTTCTCGGTTCTAAACGGGACTCGGATAATGTGAGAATGCTCGGTTCCAAACACTTTCTCGAGGCGTTGGCCACATGTGGTTCCAACGGCGTCGGGAAGCAATCGAGTCACCTATTACGAAGCAAAATCAAGAATCGACAAAAAGAAAGAACGGCGCGAAACTCACAAGAGAAATGATCGGGAAAACTAACGATTAGTATGCGAGGCTTGATATCGAGCCCTTGCTCCTTTATACGCTTGAGCATCTCGCGCTCTAACGCCGGAACTTGATCTAAAATGTAGACAACCTTAAACACAAGCGAAGATATCGAGAAACAACGTTAGAATCCATAAATCACGACGAAACAACGAGCCCGAGTCGTTACCAACTCCGTCCTCACCTGGCCTCCGGTGTCGGGATAACCTAAGACATTTTCTTGTGCAAAATAACCGTGCGGCGAGAGAATGACAACGTTGAAAACCATTGGAATCCGGCCGAGAAACTTCTCGAGGGTGCAAGAATCGGGGGCCTCGAGGAGGTCGAGAAGCATCGATATCATCAATGACACACGCCCCGCGTTGTCCCCCCATCCTCTCTCCAATCCGATCTCTTGAAACTTATGCTCGAAATCATCGTACGGAGTCTCCGGCGGGAGCGTCGATAGATATTCCTCCGCCTTCCTCAACACGCCTTGTAATGAGCCGAGGTTCTTTATCCGATCGTTCAGCATCATCGTCTGCAATCATCGATCGATCGATCGAGAAGCAAACCATATTCACATTACTGACATGAGTAGTCTAATCGCTATGTTCATTTGACTCTTTTTTTTGACAAAATTGCTTATAACTCTTTTGTGATTTCAAAATTCAGCTAAATCCTACATTTATTTTAAAAATTGCATAACGTCTCCTTATACTTAAAAAAATTGAAATCCTTTTTTTTTGTTTTTTTCAAAATTTTACTATCCGAACTATGCATGATTTGTCACTCATAAAATATCACATCAAATATTTAAGTACGAGATCTAAATCGACTACCTTGCCCTTGTAATGATGCATTCGAAGGAAATCGAGGAGCGGCGTCATGCTATCGCGGTCGTGGAACATCTTCGCGGAGAGGTGGCGGTTGAGGAACTCGACGCCGTTCCCGATCGACTTGGTGAGCGTCGGCTTCGGGAACGATGCTGTGAACGGTTCGAAATCGAGCTCGAGAACAAACTTGTCATTGGAGCTAAAAAAAAAATCAAACACAGCCATGATCATGATCATGATCACAATCGAAATTAAACTTGACTCGAATCGACTCGGGGCTTACGTCCCGTCGACAAGCTCCTCCTTAAATTGGAGGTACTCCGGTACGGTGAGCTCCTCGACTACGAGCGCATTGACATTGACACGGACGTATTCCCAAACTCCCGGCCTTAGCCGGATCGCCAGCGCCACCCACGGCGGCGACACAATCGCTTCCTACATAATGTAGTAAAAAAAAATAATAATAAAAAACTTCAGACAGATATATATATATATATATATATGATGTAATAATCAATTCAATTCGATAATCGTAGAATGGACAATGAAAAAAAGCTTCAGACATATATAGATGGACCGATATAGATGGGAACTTGGAGGGGCAATTGTCCCCAAACCCCCGCCCCGAAAATATATATATATTTACTTTAATGTAAATAAAATTTATATAAATACATCATTTTTAAAATTGAAATTTACATAAATACATTATTTTGTCCTCTTAAAATTGAAATTCATATATAGTTTGTTATTAATTTTTATTTTAAATTATATTAATATATATAATTTTAATTATAATTTATATAAAGAAAATATAGTTTTTATACTTGCATGATATTTTAGTTCTTTTTTTATCATTTATTGTATCAAGGAAAATCGAAAGAAAAAAGAATTGAAATGACACAGAAAATAACCAAACCGACATATTTTTATATAAAAATTAGGCCTCTCGAAAAAATAAAAAAATAAAAAAATATATATACTAAAATCAAAACTAAACTATAAAAAATAATAGACAAGCTAGTTCCGTCGCTATATGTTGTAATAATAATTAGATTGGATTTAGTTGGATTGGACCTGCGTGGAGTTGAGGACATCCTTGAAGGCATGATCCTGCAAATTTCCATGGAACTCGGACAGCAGCTGGTGAGGCTTCAGAATGCCTTTTCCATGGCCTTCGATCCTGCAAATGATCGATCAATTGTATTTCTATCTCGTTTTTATTGCATCCGAATTAAAATCAGACATCTATCTATCATTAATCAGGAAGAACAGCAGGAACTGACCTGGACAGGAACAGCATGATCTCGTTGCGATGAGCGGCGAGAGTGGCGTCGAGGCGCTCCCGAAGGCTGTGGACGCGGCTCAGGACAGGTTGCGCCATTGGAGAAGACGATACAGCAAATTCGAACCAACTGATTATTAAATTAGAAACTTTCAGACAGGGGAATGAAGATGTCTTGCTTGAAATTTCTTGGATAAATCGAACACTGTTACTCAGATCTGGTAAAGATTGCTTTCCGAAACAGAGGAATTGAAAATTATTATGAGTGGAACCCAGTTCAAGATTCAATTTTTTGTTTTTTGGATTTTAGGACAAGAAATGTTCGAGCGGAGAGAAAAGAGCAATAAAAGTGGGGTTAAGATAATTTTACCTTTAGAGATATTGGAGAAAGAAGACAGCACAAGGGTGTGTTTGTTTGGAAAAATGGATTGAATTTACACTATTCATCCTATTTTTTTTTCCTCCAAAAATATTAAATCAAACCCCTATTTTTTATTTTTTATATTATAGTAAAAATCAATTTTACATTCAAAACATCGCATCAATACCTATTTATATCTCATCGTATAACTATTCAAATTTAAAATTTTTACTATTCAAATCTCAACTCAAAATTCAAATACCAAACAAACACACCCTTAATGTGGGCAGTAGACAAAGCAAATTTGCGATGTAACTGAAAAAGCTTATATATAGTCCAAGTATTTCTAGAAACTGCGACTGTTCTCCAATTATAATAGTCTTTATTTCAACTAAAAATATATTTTACCATATGGTTAGAAAATATACATATATATTTTTTTCTATCGTTCAATTACAAATTAAATATTTTATTTTTTTTTTACAAATATCCTTACTTTACATCACGTCATTACTTTTTACACTAAAAAATAAGGACAAAAATGTCATTTTACTACTTTTAACTACCCACTAATTAGGAATTTTAATCTTTAAATATTAATTATTATATTAAAATTCATAGTACAAATTAAAAATATTTTTGTAAAAATACTTCAATTAGTGTCTTATCTAAAAAAATATATAAATATAATAATATTTTTAATGTAAATTACAATGATACAAAAGATAAATGTGACGCGAACAGTAGAAGTATATATTTTTACTTTAAATTGTTTAATAATCTCTCCGTTCCAAACACTATGCAATATTTGTGTTTGGCACGAGAATTTAGATGAGAAGTATTAAGTATGATAATTTAAGATAATTTGGATATTAAGTGATATAATTGAAGAAAGAAGTGATTATTTGTTTTTTTATTCGAGTGCTGTGATGAAATAAAGTGAAGTATATATTAATACATATATATAAATATTATTAATTATTTCTAAATTTAAAAATATTACAGTAAGTTTAAGACAAATAAAAAAAAATATTACAGAATATTTAAGACGAAAGAAATACAAAATAATTATTTTAAAATTATCTTCTTATAAATATTTGTAATTGGAATATAGAAGGTAATAGTATGCGAAAAACCGAGGTCTTGTCAGCTTTAATGGATTCCAGAAAGAGAAAGAGGAGAGATGGACGGTGTGGATTAAAAGATGGTAAGGGCTAGATGATCGGACGGTGGACGCAATATTGTTTATCCAAATCTGGGATTTGCTGGTTTTCAGAGGCCAAAGTAAAATTGACTGGACAGACAGGTGGAGGAGAGTTTGGGAAGTACAGTTAAAACGACGACGTTTCAGGAATTAAAGAAATTTATACGAGGTCCGGGACTAGAAATGAGCACGTGTACGGATACAAGTGGGCAGAGTTCCCGGGAGCTCCTGTGGTCTTTGACTTTGCTGACAGTGACGACTAACGCCGTGTCCTGTCGTTACTGTCGGCTCATTTTCATGGAAATAAAATTAGGACGTATTTTTTCGGTAAATTTGGGGTTACCTTCTATTTTGGAATTTAATTTTACTTTTTTTTATTATGTAACTATAAAGGGTGTTTTTTTTTTTAAATAATAATAATAAAATTTCAGGTCTTTATTTCTTTAGAGTCCACTTCTGGAAAAATATTAATATATTTTTTATATTAAATTGAATATTGATTTTTAAAAATTCAAATATTTTGGGATTGTTTGTTTAGACTTAAATTTATTTTTCTACTACTTAATAAACATGGTTTCTAATAAGGGTGTGTTTGTTTGGGGGATTGGATTGGATTTATACTATTCATCCCATTTTTTCCCCTTCCCAAAACATCAAATCAAACACGTATTTTTTATTTTTTATATTATATTAAAAATTAATTTTATATTCAAAACATCACATCAACACATATTTATATCACATCATACAATTATTCAAATTCAAAATTTTTATTATTCAAATCCCAACTCAAAATCCAAACCCCCAAACAAACACACCCTAAAATATCATACTAAAATATTTATTACATTAAAACTCAAACTTAAAAGTATGTTTTTTTTGGTTTTTTTTTTCTTGAATTTAATATTAGAATTATGTATTTTTTTGTCGTTTACAAAATATTAAATCAAATATTGTTTAAATACAAATCCTAGATCAAAAAATTTCAATAAAAAAGAAACAAATCTTTTTGCTGATTTTTTTGGATTGATTTATAGCAATAACAAATAAATCACAATAATTATTTAATTTTATTTATTAAAAAATAATATAGTTAAAAATGATTATTACTTCCTCCATCTACAATAAATATGTTCATAGTTGAACACAGATTTTAATAATTATATTAATTGATTGCGACATAAAATATAAATATTTAGAAAGTATGTGAGAAAATTTTAAATAAATTAAATGTAAATTATTGTGTCATATTGATAAATAAGTATAATATTAAAGAATATGTAAGAATGATTTGTTATAAATAAATAAATATATATTGAATGGACGAAAAGAATATTATTTTTTTAACGGATAAGGCTATTTTTTTTTAATAACTTAAAGGTATTGACAGCAAAGGTAAAAGGAAATGCGTAAATGTGGCTATATTCCCTTTATAATTATTTTTATCTATTTATCAGTTCATTATTACGATTTTTTTTTTTTATAAATTTATATTGTTTTATTTTATAAAATACTATCAAATTCTTTTTTAAATTGAAAAAATAATATACATTGAATAATAAATTTTTTAAAAATTGACAATTACTAATAAAAAGAATGGGTTTACTCAACATTATATATATTTATATAATTTATATTTTACATAAAAATAGATATCTAATTAACACTCAAACATAAGTGTGTTTTTTTTTGTGATTCGCTTAGAAAAAATTATTTTTAATGTGAAATATAAAAAATTGTGTAAATAAATATAAAAATAATGAACTTATACTATATTAATTTTCTTGAAAAAAATGTGTTAGAAATTATTTAGAAATGAAACAAACATAAAAATTTAAACCTAAACCTCAAAGTTAAATACAAAATTAAAATTTGGTCGTTTTTACAATATTTTATTTTTCAAAAACTATCACAAATATTTTCTACAAAACTTATATTACAAAAATTTGTAACTTCCATTTCGTAGATTTGAAAAATCACCATCTAATCTAGTTTAAGTATATAAATTAATAAACATCAATTTATATCAAAAGTTTAGCAAATATTAAATTGTCATTTATAATTCAATTCTATTGGCCCTTAATTTATGAAAAACTTTCTCACAATTTTAAATTCGGTTAAATGAATAAAATAATTATCCTACTTATATAGGCAAAAAATAAAAAAAAAAAATACATTTGCTTCTGCAGATAACAATAATAATTTATTATTGGACAAATGATTCTTTTTCAAACTAAAGATCTGATTTTTCAAAAACATAGCATCGCATTCAACTAAAAATAGATCAAAATTAAAAAATTTAAAAAAAAAAAAAACTTAAAACACAAACCAAATCCTATAAACCATATATGTTTTGATAGAAAATTTTCTACAGCAAAGAATCAATGGAAGTTCCTAAATATAATTTTTCCATCAAATTTTGAATAAAAAGCAGCTTCTCCTTACTCATCTTCTACGGCGTAAAAAATCATCGATACAAAGAGACAAGTTCTACTAACCTGGACGAGACGGCGTTACATGAGGTTGTCAAGCTGAGCCTGCAGATCGTGCGTCGAGATCATGTTAATTAGCTGTATATCTTGAGGAGCGTACTCCGATTTGAGCAGCGACTGCACTTGAACGTGCGCTTCGACAATGTTGGTCCTGGAAAAAAAAAATCAAGTCGAGATTCAAAAAACGATGTATTGATTATAACAAGTGTAGAAACTCTTACTTGATTGGTCTGAAAAGTATGGCGCGGGTCGCCGGGTTCTGCAGATAAAGCTTCATTTTCTCCATCACTTTCGGCAGCTCTTCTTGCATCGCGGAGCTCACCTATCACATATTCAGACAATATGTTTAATGACAGTGACAAGGAAATAATTTTATAGATCATATGTACCTTCTGAACAATTTCGGAAACTTTTCCAGGAGTCGCGAAAGCTTGATCTTTGAGAGGCTTATTTAGGGAAGACTCTTTTTGATTTTGACTGCCGGAGGACAATGCAACTTTCACGGCAGTAACCTTCAAATACAAATGATTCAAGCGATTGTTACGCCAAACGACGAGTTGCATTTCGGCAAACTCTCCCACATTTTTAACCACTAGAGATCGAAAATTTTAACTAAATGTGAGTGAGCACATGAATGTATGCTTGGTCATATCTTGAGTTTTTTTTATTAGTACGATGCATTTTTTACCGTAGAATAGTATCTACTAAACTAGCATAACTGTTAGGTGTAAAAGCTTTAAAAATCACCACTTAATATATTCATAATCGAATTTCGCGGATAGAACCTGTAACAGACCTTGGTAACGAATGACAACATCGGATCCACGACCAGCTTCGTCACGGACATAATGAACTCCTCACAAGTGGCTTTGAGGCTCTTCTCCAGTTCCTGCATTTTAATTGGATATCGAATGTAAGTTTTGGCGACAAAAAATTATAAACTAGGGTGAAATATAATAACATTGAATTTCATGCGCCCCTTTTTAACATATGAGAGGCAATGGAGTACCTTCTTGGCATCGATCTGACTTTCCAAAACTCGGGGGGACAGAGTTCTAGCCAAAGAAGTAGACCTTGACCAATCAAATAATGAAGCCTGGCCTCTAAGAATTCGTCTCAAATGCTCCTGAAATATGTAATGAACAATGATATTATTGTCGTTGCTGGATAGAAAGGCGAATTCGGTGATGTACACCTTTTGACGTCAGAATATACTCATCGTACTTATAATATAGAGACTAGAAAAAATGATAATCGACACAATTAAGCTTCAACATCGAACTGCAGCTTGATGAAAGATCAAGTGCATGTAATGAGTAAACTATTACCAGTAAATGGGAGAAGTCGAGCTCCTTATGTGTCACTGAGAACTCAATCTCGAATGGCGCAATCTGCAAATAAGGCAGTAATATAATTAACAGAAAAGACCAATAATTGCCGTAATGGAACTTTGTGAATATAAAACAGTACCTGCTCTCTAAGGATGAGAAGATACTTAATGAGGAAGAGCTGTCCATCCATGGTGGATGATCTTTTGGCAACTTGTTTGCTAGCTTTCTGTGAGATCAAATTACTTCATAAGGTTTGCAAATCCGTACACGCATTTGAAATGAAATAGAACATCAATGTAAGGAGAGATGCATGAATTTAGGGCTCCCCCTCCACCTTTTCCACCAGCAATGAATCGAAGTACTCACCTGAATGGACAATGAGCAAAACTCCACTGCTTCCTGATTAGGATAAATTGATTAAAGTGAGTGTATTGAACAATATTCTTGGAAGAAGAGACGACAAGAAAGCGCAGTACCTGGGCCAAACCAGTAAAAACACCAGGTTCTAGAGATCGATATAATTTAGACAGACAGGAGATTGTTTTCTCGAGTGGAGGATACCAAGTCTTGGAAACATCTGGATTTTCAGCTCGCTGCAACCAGAAAATAAGTAATGTTTTACACAGCACAAGAACAAACTCGATTAGAATAGAAATGGATGAAATGAATGTTGGTCGCAAAATTTACATATCAGTAAAATATAGTATCGAAAGAAAGCTTAAGGTTGCTGAACACCACACATAAACAGGAAAGAGCAAGTGCAAGAAAAAAGTGAAAAGATGTTTGTATTACACTTACAGGTGATGTTTCAGACTTTGCCTCAGCCGACTGCTCCAGCTTAGCTGGGTAATCTAGATCATCATCCAATGGAAGATAATTTGCAATCTAAATATGAAATGGAGAAATGTTACTTTTCAACAACCTTATATATATAAATCAATTAAAAAGAAAATGCCAAAACAACTTGAGATAAAGTGACCCAAGATTCTTCCCTGTTGTTGAAATTTCATGAATGAAACAATCTTCAACTATGCAAATGATTTTTTTTCTGTTGTTGAAATATAGCAATTTTCTTTACTGTTTCACATCATCAGTTTGTTTTGAAAATGAAACTCAGTATCAATTCCCTTCCCTTTTCTTATTTGATATTTCCCCACAAATTTAATGTCTCCTCTGTCTCATAGCAGCAAGGCAGTGATACAAAACCACATATCAATTAGTCCGTCGAGAATTCTCTCAAAACAAATTCCTTGGAATCAATCAACTATTTAAGTCAAGGCAACTTATACTTCTACATATCAACAAGATATTGCAAACAATGATTGGACAAATAAACAAATCTCAAATTTCTGGTAGCTCAAACAACAGAATCAGATGCCAAAAGTAGACTAACAATCATGTTTCATCAAGACATTGCTTTAACTCCCACCCAACCGCCAAACAGAAATATAAACATGTTTACTATTTCCAAAGCACATAGAAACAACAGAAATTTCAGAAGAAATTGGGGCAAATAAACTGTAAACCCTGAAAGTCCATTAAGGATACAGAAGTTACCTCATCACGTATGTGCGTTCTAGCACGAAAAGTTAAGCGCTCGTGAATGTCTGCCAATATCCTCTCTAGTGTAGGGCGTAATCCAGCTAACGATTCCCCTCGTCTGTTCACTTGTTCTTCTAGGACTTCAACTTTAAGTATATCAACAAGTTCGCAAAGAATATCAAGGTTCGCTTCATGAATAAGTTTGGGGCGTAAGGTATCATACAAGTAAGTACACCTGCCAAACAATGAATGCAGAATTTGAGTTTTAATGAATTGAAAGATAATTCAAGGTACTGGTGCAGCTGTGCAGGGTGATATATGAAAGAGCCTATAAAACTCTTGGGTAATACAATCCATGTCACATCATTGTAATAAATGACGTAAAGAATAGGTGTATCAGATATCAAATATAGAAGAATGACCGATCTTTTTATTAGACTGATGCAAACCATCTACTAAAGCAAACCACAAAATTATATTATATACTATGAAAGAATGAAAGAATGTCCGCAAAGATAAAAAGGAATGAAGTATACAGAAAAGAAACAATCAACCCTGCTTAAAATATCAATCACACAAAGTACTCACAGTGGATCTATTAATGGAGCCAAACTTGAAACGTCTTCCGAAGATAAAGGGAAGAAGTGGTCAAATAGCTGATGCTCGAGCTGGCACACCTGCAATTTCAGTCATCTCTACTTTATCTATGAATAGAAATGTTAACAGTTACTTTTAATAGTACTCAAAGATTATTAGAAAAGAACAATCTAGATCATCAATCACGTTCACATAACAGACACTGAGAAAATGTGGTACATTGAGAAATGTTACACTTCTTTGTATTGTAATGAGCATGCAATTGATCGAGCATTTAAAGCACATTTATTGATCTAAAAAATCTGCATGCTCAGCATATGTGCATCACATCATCAAAGCTATCACAGTTGAATGGGGAAAGAATAAAGACCTATTAACCATAGTAGGGGTATGGATTAAGAATTTCAGGAAAAACGATCTCAGATTTGGGCTTTGAGTTCATTATCAAATAAAAAGTTGTAGTGCATTCTATTGAATGAATTTTAATAGGACCATTTATTTTCAAATAAAAAGTTCGGTCCTAACTTTCTTTATCACTTATAATTAAGTGCCAACAACATTTACATTCCAATTGCTTAAGTTCTAGTGATACCACCTGCAATAAGCAGGGGAGAATAATCTTTCTATTTGGATATGTCATTATTTCATCTAGAGAATTAGTACAGCCAAATTCAATGGAGTAAGGTCAAGCAATCCCATAGATCATCAATGTCTTCTCGGTGTAATATATCAATCATAATGGGAAGAAACAATCAGAAGAGTTTCTCCATTTAGCTTTTACTAAATCAAATAGACATAAAAAAGTTAAAAACATGTTATCAAGAAAACCTGCATTAAGTATGCACATCCAGATCTTGTCAATGATGGCAAGGCTTCTTTTTTGGAAAATTCAGAGATCCGTTGTTGCACTATACCCCTTACCTAGAATCAAAGATAATACAAAACCACAACATTAAAAAGGGAATCAACATAGATGAACCCAAAAAGATATAAATCCTTCTTGACCAAAAATAATCTTTTTTTTCTTGGTGGGGGGTGGGGAGTGAGGAATCAGCTAAGAATAGATAAAATTGAGAAGTGCTTCTTATCCAACTGCTTTTGATGCTTTCCTTGTAAATGAAACACCTGGTAAAGGAAGAACCAAAGATGTGGAAAGATTGGAGATATAGAATTTGGAAAGCAACTCACCAGCGAAAGCCTCTGTTCACAGTAAAGTTTATGGCATTCAGTGAGTAACTGCACATATTCCTTTCTTGCTTTTCTACTTTCAATTTCTTCCAGTACAGGCTTAAGCTGCAGTTTGCAAATTCTCTAGTTTGAGTCGAGAAATAAAAAAAAAGAATTCACTGGCCAAAAACAGAATTGACCACATTTTCACCTCATTGGCTGCTGCCTTGAATCGAACATATATCACAGATGCCTCCACACCTTCAGAGACAGATGCTTTGTTGCCAGCACTGCTCTTTATTGCTGCCTGAACCTAAAGTGCAAAAAGGAAAATATGATAGATCCATTAACCATGTTATAGAACATATAAAACATATTACTAAAACAATAAAAAAGAGAACAGAGCAGATCCACCTGAGATGATGTGTTCTTGAGGACAGATAATACATGAGAACGAATCATTCCGAGAGCTCGGGACTGCACCAAGTTTGCACACAATCACTTCATTTAAAATCAAGACAGCTGTCTCTCAACCGATGGAGAACTATAGGTAGTCAGCATAGTTATTTTATATTCAACATTGTTGAATTTGTACATACCTGAAGTTGTCGGAATTTGACCAAGTAAACATTGCACTCAGCATACTGTGGATTACTTTCAACATACCTACGCATCAATAAGAAGGTTTTAAACATAGCCAAATAATATGTCAAGGGATCAAAACAAACACCAGGCAAATTCCAGAAACAAAAGTGCACCCTTCATTATAGTTTAATGAAACAGCATATTTCAAAATATCAAGAGAGTATATTCATGCCCCAAAGAGAGACCATGCTGTTTCTCAATTGCTTGTTTTTCATTTTTCAGCAGCATAACCCCACAAAAAAAAAAAAAAAAGCCACACACAAGTACATTAAACTTATGAAAATTATTACAAGTTCTATATTTAAATAAAATAACTTACGATATGCAGTCATCAAGTCTCTTGAGTAAAGGAAGGAAATTCTCATGTGCTACATTCATATTTGGAGAGTAAAAACTGGTCGCAACCTGCAAACAGGACATAGCCTTCCATGATGAAGATTTAAATCCAGATTCTACGTACAGATTTATCCAATCTGTAATAACTACATGTTCCATACTATTGTTTAAAGTTTAAACTAGATATCATATGTGCAATCAAACACTGAACTGTAGTACAACAAAAATCATCAGTTGAACTCTTTGCCAAAATATGGAGAAGCATAAGATGATAAATTCCACAAAGCCAAAACTGCTAGAGAAAGTAAGGAACAAAAATAATGCTCACAATGACATTCAAACCTTACATTCTCCAATTCATCAAAGTAGTTGAGCTTAGCACGAAGAGATTCAGCAAACTCAATTAACCTTTGCTTCTCTATTAGCTGCAACAGAAAAATAACAAATGGACAAGGTCATGGAACTAAGTTTTCATAAAGTCTGCATTTCATTATCTATGTATGGTTGATTTCACAATTTATCATTTTATTAAATCGAAATAGCTGAAATTCTGCAAAAACTAAATATTGAACTATGGTGGATCTAGAAAAAAGCCCAGGTACCAACTTCAAATAAACAGCATTGCTTTATGATATTAGAGCTCCAAAAAGTTAACTAACTTCTTGATAGGAAAACAATCTTTCTCCACAAAGTTCAAATACACTATACGAATTAAAGATCCAGAAGAAAAAATAAAATGTATTAATCACCAGTCTATCGCATGCATCATGGAGTGTTTTTGTCTTTGTTGCGACTGCCTGATGCTGCATTTGTAGCTCATTAAACAATTCAAGGGTTTCATCCACCTGCAGGATGTCATTACAGAAATGGTTTAGTTGATAGAATGCAGGATCAAAAACCCAAAGTGACTATTAAGGGGCATGATTCAGTTACATCACACAGTGCCGCACATAACCAAATTATATCTTGCCTGGTGGAGTATAGTGTCACATGTTTGTATTCTCTCTGTCAACGTCCTCACATAATGCTGGTATTTCTCTTCTGTCTAAATAAACAGCAAAAAGGTGAATCACGTACAAAATCTCCAATCAGAAGAAAACAAAACAATCGGGAAATCTGATGCAAACCTCTGATTTCATGGCTGCTTCAAGGTCAACAAACCATTTGTAGAACTGCAATAAAGAAAATAAATGGTAATTAAGTGAATCAGATTCAACTAAGTCCAAATATTAGTTAAAACATGCAACACAAATTCAAAGTACAAATAATTCTCCATAAAAGCTAATGTATTGGTAGTTATTTAACCCAGAAAGTTCGTCAATAAACATTCAGCCAATGATTGATAAACCAATGAGGAAACAGATAAGACAGAAACACAAATTCTTGGTCCATGGAGCCCATCTCCTAAATGTTCCAAATTCAAAATAGGTATATCAACGAGAAGTTAGGCAATAACCATTACACCATTTCTTTAGACGGCTTAGTTATCAATGATTCTCTAGTAATGTCATGCATATCACTTCAAATAAACATATAAATATTCACAAATACCAGAAGAAAAAGGCGAATAATGAAAGAACAATCACCTCATTTGTGTTTATCAACACTGCACCAATGGCTCCTGAATCCTCTGTAGAGCTATGCTTTGTTGAAATGGACAAACCATTTTGTAGCCCAGCCACTTTCTCTTGTTTCTTGTGATTAAAAACAACAAAAGGGTTAACACATCCGAGCCCTAAATGGATACAACAATGGAACAAAAATCCAACAGAATCCCAACCAGATTTGAGGGAAATGGTCTTTCGGCAACAGCATGGGATAACGCAACAATCGCAGCCTGCTGTTGCTCCGTCAATGGAGCATTCTGATAAATGAAAAAAAGGTGAGATGCATTGAGCTACAATAAGAATTTTATCATCAATTCAATAGCCTATACATTATATGAACACAAGCAGACTCTCCTATGCCAATTCAATTCCAAATTCAGCCATGGAACATAAGCTAGCTTAGATTAATTGAAATCACACTATTCTACAACCACAAAAGAATATCTTTTCTCAAACCAATTTCAGTCGATTCAATCACGATAAGAGGTTCAAACATTGAGAGCTGCAGTGTAGCTAAAACTGAACTAAGATTCAGCAGCAAGCACCAGATCTATCATCGCAGAAACCAAAATCCACTGATCGTACACATCAAATTGTTAAATCGAGGTAAGAATAAATCGAAAACCTGCTCCCAGGTGGACGCAAAATTATAGCCTTTAGAGATCGCGCCGGATTTCGGGACGCTGGCCTTCGCTGCACCAGACGCCCCAACGGTGGCAGCCATTTCCCCTCTTCAGTGAAGCTCCGATTACGATAATCACAGAACCAAGAGCAAAAACACACGCACAGAGACACACTCCACCTAAATCTCGACCTTCAGACGCAGCAGCAGAGCTCCGAAACAGTTTTCTGTTAAAAATACAGAATCGTCAATTGTTTAGAGAATTGACCCAAATCAATGCGCAGGGAGACGTGCTATGGCGAGCAAATCATCCTCTGAAACTTCACTGCGCCGATCTTCACGATGAAGGAAGCCATAGCAGACTCACTAATAGATCGTAGCTCCGTTCCTTCGTTTCTCACCGCTGTAAATTCACCATCGTAACTTTAATTTTATTTTTATTCTAATAAATTTTTCGAAACTAAAATAAATAAATATTTTTTTTTTATTTAATCTAACATATCATTAAAAAAATTAAGAAAATATAGCTTATAAAGTAATCCCTCCGTCTAGAATTACCCACTCTGTTTCGAACTGTCGCCTCGAACCGGTTCGCAGGTTTTCGAACCGCCGGTTAGGGTTCCAAACGAACTCGGCGCAAACCGAACGAAACCGGTTTGAACCGGTGGTTTTTTATTTTAAATCTCTCACCGGCGCAGGCAGGCGCAGAAGAAGAAGAAGAAGAAAGACCAACCTGGTGCTGTGCGGCGGCTGTGGATGGTGTAAATGTGTGAATTAGGGTAAAATTGTGTGTATTTTATGATAATATAGTACTCCCTTTGTCCACGTTGCCGTTTCTGTCCGTAATTTTTCTTTTTGGAAAATGACTACAAATTTTAATCAAAAAAATAATAATATCAATATTAATAAATATAAATAATTATTAATGATATTAAAAAACTATAATATTATAATATTATTTTTTATTTATATTTTAAGTTTTGTAAATTTTAATATATAATAGTAACATTTAATTTAAATTATATTATATTATTATCTATTATATTATTATTTTTTAATTTAATTATTTATTAAATTTATTATTTTAATTATTTTTATATTGTAACAATTTAATTAATTATTTTTATACATAATTTTTCAATAATAAATATATTTAAATAAAAAATTAAAATAAAATTTAATTATTTTTAAATAAAAATCAAATTTAAAAAAAATAAAAAATATATATAAACAGATTATTCTAAGAGTAGCTAACCATTGTAGTGGTTTATAAAACGTAATCGAAATCATTTGAAAAATTCGATGCTTAAGCGGTTTGAACAAGTTTACCTCGTCCTACTATAATCTTTCACTTTAGTCCTCCCACAAAACTATGTATTGAATTTGAGCCCATTATATTATTATTATTATTATTATTATTATTATGTAATTTTTGTAAGTTGGACCCGCAACAATAACGATGGTTAGCAGTTATGGGTTGCAATTAGGAATGGAGAAATTTACTTAACATATCACTTATTGTGTCAAAAATATCGGTATACACCGATAATTTTGGTATGGTATCAGTATGAATTTTCAAAAAATTCGTATGTACCGTACTGATATTATTTTTATTAAATAATTTAATTATTAATATAAATAATAATTATTAATTTTTTAAAAAAAAATAATAACAAAAAAATATATAGACTATTGATTTTTTATAATATTTTTTGGTAGAAAATAATGATATTTATTAATTTTTTTTATTATTTTAAAATTTAAAATTATAATTTTCAATATAAGCAATAGTACCGTACCAAAAAATTCAGTATACCATCCCTAGTTAGAATGACAAGTTATAACTCAAACCATAAGCCATAATCATAAACTATCATCTTTTTCTCTTTGATACTGAATTTTTTCCCTTACCAACATCTTTCTCACTTCAATACTTGACTTTATGTTTTTGACATAATAATACGGAAACAAAGTTGAAAACATAAGAAAAATAAGCTACAGATGGCCACTTATAGACAGATTTTGATATCCAAAACTCCGATCCCAATCCCCTGGATCGCACTAGAATTCATACACTCGGACCTGAGAATGTCCGAGAAAACAAAAACAAAAACAAAAACTTACAAAACTCAATCCTTAACATCAGTTACACCATCCACCGATATCTGAAATCTTGCTTCAGCTTCGGCCAAGCACGGCGAACTCACGACTTTGCATATCCGTTCTTCGCCTCGCCCTTTCCTCAAAGCCAATCTGTCCACACAGTCGTATTCCAAAAACACACACTTCAAATGATCGAAAAAAAAACTCCATTTACATAGATATTTTTTAAACTTTCAACATCAATAACATTTTTAAAAAATATACTTCTTTCCGTCACGTATACTTACGAATTTTAAGAAAAGTAGATAAAAATAAAAATATTTTCTTTTTAAAGTAAAAAAAATTAAAAAAAAAAAGTGATTTATTTTTTACTAAAAAAATAAACGAGAATAAGTGTAGATGACAAGGAGTAAATTTTCTCTCCTCTATCTTAAAAATATAAATTTACTTTTTGCTCAAAATTTTAAAGTGGATAGTTAAAATTAATATAAAGACAATTTTGTTTTTATTTTATTGTGTAAAAGTATCGACGAGAAAATAGACGTATTTGTAGGAAAAAAAATGAGGTCCACAAATTTCAAAACTTTCTATCTAAACAAACCTGGTCGTAGTCGCATGCGCCATAATGTTGCCGCCGATGGGCTTGATCTGAGGACCGGCAAAAATGGCAGAGCCGTCCACCTGAGCGACGACCTGGTTCGTTATCACAACCGCAACTCCGAACTACGGAAACAAAAAGACAATCATTTAAATAAGAGGCACAAAATTCTTTGACAACAATGAGAATTCCATCGAGGAATTACCTCGTCTGCCAATTTCTGAAGGCTCCTCAAGAACTTGGCAAGATGCATTTGCCGAGCCGATAGTTCGCCCCTCCCAGAAAAATCCGTCCTGTACAGCGCAGTAGCGCTGTCGACTATCATCAGAGCAAACCTGAATAAAGACGTAATCAACAAGTGAGCCGAATCATCGGGATTATAACAAAAAGTATACATTTCTGGTGCGTTTGTTTGGGGGATTTTTCTCAAACACCTATTTTTCATTTTTTATATTATACTAAAAATTAATTATGCATTCAAAACATCACATCATACAACTACCAAACAAACACATGCTTCTTATCGACCAAATCATCGAGCACGGATTGTAAGAACTAGACAGTACCTTGTTTCGACCATCATGGAAGCAGCTTCAAGCAAAAGGCGAGATTGATGATCGGTATTATACGCTCGGGCGTACGCCACGTTTTCCAACACGTCGGCGCCGTTCAACCCAAACCTACAAATTTAGAATTTTTACGAATAATTCGAACAAAATAATTTTACAATCGATTCCATTAAAAAAAGAGCTTACCTATCGGCTATCTGCAGCAGCCTCTGCGGCCGGAATGTCCCCTCGGCATCGATGTACATTGCTTTCCCTTCGCCACCTCCTTGGTCTAGCGGAAGCTGAAAATCCGATCCCATTTATATCCTCAAATATATCGGTAAGACTTTCTACTCCACTCGAAGAAATCGAACTTAGAATCTTACTTGACAAGTAACGCAGAGAGTATGGCATAACTGAGTTTTCCCAGATCGAAACTCCCCGTATAGCTCCGTAATGGAACCCGTTTCAATTCCTCCTATCGAAAAAAAAAAAAAAAAGAATCGATGAACATCGACAGCTCATACATAATCAATAATTATGACAATAGCTATCCACCTTCTAGAACTTTATCGAGCTCCTTCGATCCGGATGTTATTTGAATGATTTCGAGCCTCTGAGCGTGAAGCTGCCCGGCGCTCGTAAATCCCAACGGGACCAGTTTCGAAGCTGTCGAAAATTAGCCAAACATCAGAGAAACAATAAACAGCAAGATTTTCTGCTAAAATTCAGTCGAAAATTACAGCAACATGCCTGCCTCGATTATCTTATCGACTTTAGCATCGCTGATTCCTTTGATCTGCAGAAGCTCCTTCCTCGGAGAGTAGGCTACCGATTCGACAGTACATAAGCCAGCGTCCTTCAGCTTTTTTATGTCAATGGCGGCAATGCCCGACGCCTTCACAATTGAACCAGAAGAACATTCCAATTATTCTCAATTTTCTTATAGAAGCTATCGTGGAATTGGATATACAATTCTGAAACCCTAATTTAGTAGCTAGATTTTGTTCACTCCGAAACCTTAATTCGCAGGGGGGTTCTAATTCCTCAGATTTCAATAATCGAAGAAACCTCCATGAAGACCGAAGAAACAGGGGTTTTGTGCGTGTTCAAAAACACAAAACCAATTAAACAAGAAATTATGAACAGATGCATCGCGAACTAAGAGAAAATCGAAATTAAATTCAACGCAATAAAAATCGAGGGGGAATTGAATTGCGAAAAGACGAAGAACAGATTGACCTGAAGCTGTTCGACAGGGAAAGGGCCGTGCGCCTCCTCAACCTCCTCCTGCTGCACCACTTGCTTCCTCTGCTGCTCCATCAATGGCGGTGAAACCCTCAACTCTGGTGGGTTTTTCGAAGGTATTTGGATGGGCGCCAAAAGCGGGAGATACAAATAGAGAGAGAATCGATCGAATCAAGAAACTTCTCATGAAAGCCTTCGACTTCAATGGTGGATGGAGTCTTCAATTTGGGCCTTTCTCAGCCTTAACTTCAGACGGGCTAATATTGGGCCTTTTTCAGCCTTAACTTCAGATGGGTTTATATATATAATTACATAACTGATTAACGTATTTTTAAAAAAAAAAAAAAAAAAAAATCTAAATTAAAAAAATAAAAATAAAATTTAGGTATGTAATTTTTTAAAATAGAACGAAGAGGATGTTATTTTTACTTTATTAGTAAAAAAAATTAAATACTTTTAAGTAGATACACAAAATTGTATTCATTTATTTTTAAAATTATGTCAGTATCTTTTATATTTATGACAATGATATTTCCTTTTCTATTATAATATTTTTATGATATTTTAAATTTTTTTTTTTTATTTTTATATTGACATATTATAATTTTAAAATTTTTTTCTGAGGCCAAACGGTATAATTATCCTAAATTGAGGAGTATTATTTTTACGTATAAAAATTCATGTAGATAATATAAAAATAATAAATTCGTGTAATATATTAATTTTTTTAATGAAAAAATTTGTTAAGAAACAAACCCTTATTTTTTTGATATGTAAGCATAAATTATATTTTTATTTAAAAAATATATAAAAGTACATAATTTCATATTAGGCCTACAACTAGCTGTTTGTTTTTTACAATTTTATTTAGAGCACATTCCAAAAATAATAGTTATAAATTCTAATTAAAAAAAAAACTACAAAAAAATTGCAATTACAAATTGTTATATCATAAAAATAAAATAAAATAATTTGATATATGTTTTAAAAAAAAAATTATAATCAATTTGATATATGTTTAAAAATAATAGACATGTAATAATTTCTAATTATGGATAAGATATAACAATCAACAATCAATAAATTGCCTCCAAAAGTCTATTAAGATTAATTAAACCCTAATAAAGAGAAACAGTGTATACGAGACCGACCACAGCCTGCCTGATTTGTTTGGTTGTTTTTTTTTTTTTTAAATATTTTTTAAATAATAAAATTTTGAATTATAATAATCATTTGATATCATATAAATTAATATTTTAATATGATATTTTTTTTAAAAAAAAAAATTATTATAAAAGAAAGTAAAAACATGTAGGAAGAAAAATACACCAAACAAGCATACAAACAAACAAATGTGTCAACGTGTTCTTCTACTTAACTGTTATAAAACTTCTACTATTCATTCATTTATTTATAAAATATATCAAATTAAATATTTAATTTTTTATTATATTAAAAATTAATTTAAATTTAAAATATCATATCAATTCTTATTTAAATTTGGTTATACAATCATGCAAATTTTGTGCAGTTTTAAGTATGAAAATAGGTGTACATTTTATTAGTATTTAAAATTTTTAGGGTCCTAAAAGATTTTGGATTGACAAAACAATATCATTGATCGTTCCAGATTAATCATGTAAGTCTCGTGTAATTTTGAATCAAAAAAATGAGTGTAATTTCTAGCAATTATCATTCATGTCTTTTAATTATTACCTTGACAAATATATCTCATAATTGTTACTTTTTTTTTTTCGCAATTAGCATATGTTATTATGGCACAAAAACCCCAGGTTCAGCGGGGTAAATGCATTAAAAGGGAACAAATTTTAGCAGATGGTGCTGCTACAGATCGGCTAATTGTTCTCGAATAACACCTGCACCCGTAGAGATCTCTCGATTGCGAAATTTCGTTCACCTTAGCACAATTCCACTATTCGCATGAGATTGTATTCGTCATCAACTTTACATTCGGCCAAAAAATAAAAATGGTATCCCACATCATAAAAAAAAGAAAAAAAAAAAGAAAAAAAAAAAAGTTAAATTGCACAAAATCCATCTATGGTTTTATGAAATTGCGTCAAATTTCCTATACTTCTAAAACTGCATCAAACTCCCTCGTGGTTTCATGAACTCTGCGTCTAACCCCCTCGTCGGTCCTTATTTAACGGTATTTGACCTAAATGCGCTCAAAGTGAATAAATTTTAGAATCTCAATTTCTAAACCCCTAAAATTACAAATATATTTATTTTTCTTATATTTAGTCCCAAAAACAATAAAAATAAACTCCTAAAATATGATAAAAATAACTATTTTCTAGTATATTTACTATTTTTGGAGGCTAACTATAAGAAAAATGAATATATTTGTAATTTTAGTGATTTAGAAATTGTAATTTTAAAATTTATTTGCAGTTTGAGCGTATTTAGGTCAAATACCGTTAAATAAGGACCGCCGAGGGGGTTAGACGCAGAGTTTATGAAACTACGATGAAGTTTGACGCAATTTTAAAAAATATAGGGGATTTGACGCAATTTCATAAAACCACACATAGGTTTTGTACAATTTAGCCAAATTTTTTTTTGTAGAAATGCGATATATGTGAGATATATTTAGGGTGTGTTCGTTTGTAGGATTTCATCCAAATTCTACTATTCATCCAAAATTTTCCCCCCAAAAACATCAAATCAAACCCCTATTTTTTATTTGTTATATTATACTAAAAATCAATTTTACATTCAAAACATCACATCAACACCTATTTATATCACATCATACAACTATTCAAATTCAAAATTTTTACTATTCAAATCCCAACTCAAAATCCAAAACCCCAAACAAACACACCCTTAAATTTTATACCGATTGCTACATTAAATTATTTTATCTTTAAAGTTTTTCATTATATGAACGCATCGCAAAATATAGATAAACACAATTATAACATTTCATTATCCAATAATTAAAAAGTCTCTATTATCTTTTCCTCAATTATGATGGGAGGGGCCATTTTGCAAAGTGGACTTGGCTGACTAAACATTAAATAAAATAATTTTCCTTTATTTGTGGATTTATTTTTTTGGAATTTAATTTTAAATGATAAAATTTTGAATTAGAGGCGGGCGAAGGGAATATTATTTTGATCTTTTAAGTAAAATATGTCTTATTTATAATTTTACTCTCCATATCATAAGTAAATATCTACGAAGCTTTATATATATATATTGTAAGTTGTAAGAGTATTTGTAATACTAAGTAGATGATACAAAATAGATAGTTTGTTAACGTAGGAAGTATCATTTTTACTTAAACAAATAATAATCAGTTTGTTACTATTTTTTTTACTTACATCACTATTTTCTATTAATTTTCTTATAATAGTAATACTCTCTATGTCCCATTGAAATGTTACCGTTTTTTATTTTTATTCGTTCCAAAACAAGGTAAATATTTCCTAATTTAGTAATTGTATTGTCTGCCTAACATAATAAATAGTCTTTCAACTTACAATATATTACACAAATACCATTACTTTTATATTACACCATACTTATAGGGGTATTTTTATCTTTTTCACTACAATTCAATATAATGTGCAAAAATAAAAATAAATGTCACCCTTCCAATGAGACCGATGGAGTATATATTTTATTTATTCACAAAAATTATAATAATTTAATATAAGATATTATTTTTTATATACTATAGGTATGTTTCTTTTGATATATTTGAGAAAAATTTAGTTTGAATTGATATTAAAATAATGTATGACGAGATATTTTGTAAGATAATTTTTATTTTTATTTTCAAAAAATACAAAGTCCAAATAGTAGAAACATATGATTGGTTGACTAAAGAAACAAACTCTATATATATATATATGTTTCTCTCGAGCCTAAAAAATAAAAATTAAAACACAAAAGTGATCAGCTGTTGATAAAGAATGCACTTATATAAGTATAGTCTCGAATTATTGCAACAATATTCATATACACATACGTATGTACATTTGAAATCAATGCAGCAACCCATACGTACGTATATACATATACGCGTACAGAAATACGTATCTATATACACATTTCATCTTTCAATCTCGACCGTCGCTTTCCATCCAGCTTATTTATACTTTACGAATAACCTAATAATAATAGTGATTATTACAAATTAAAATAAAATAATTAATTAAAATTATTCAAAGTCCGGACACGAAAGTGACACCGGTGGACGGCAGCCAGGCGTTGCCGCCGATAAAATTCCCGACGGTAAACTTCCCGGCGTCAGGCGTGCCGATCACGTGGAACCCGGGCCAGGAGACCCGACCCGAAGTCCCGGATCCGGGTCCCGTATTCTGATACTCGGCGTAGTACAGGGTCCGGTAAGTCGACCCGCCGGAACCCTCCCATTCGAGCCACCCTCGCGGCGAGATCTCGCCGTCGATGGCGGTCTGCATCACCACCGTCCGGGAGTACGGCTTCCATGGCCGGCCGAGGTAGGAGTCGAAGGAGGACTTGACGGGGGCGAAATCGGCGGCGACGGCGATTTTGGAGTTGTGGATGGAGAAGCCGGTGTTCTGGCCGGGATCGGAGCGGCCGTTGGCGGTGACGGTGTTGAAGGCGCCGCCGCTGCGGGGTCGGCGGAGGAGCAAGGTGCAGGACTGGAAGACGGCGGCGGCGTTGCCGAAGATGAAGTCGACGGTGCCGTAGATGTCGCACTCGCGGTAGAATTGGCGGAGGGAGTGGGCGTAGAGGGTGTCCTGGTAGCCGGCGACGGAGCACCGGAAGAAAACGGAGCGGTCGGAGGAGACCGTCAGCGCCACCGCCTGGTGGCTCTCCGGCCCGGCAATGTTCTCGAAACCGATGTCACGTGCTATGAAACCGTCCCCCGTGATAGCTGTGAATTTAAAAGACAATATATTAATTTAATTTTTATTTATTTTTATTGTTTTATCTGTAAAATTTTATATTTTTAATATTTTTAAAATTTTAAAAATTTTTGATTAAAGGTACTTTTTTTTTTTTTTTTGTAATTTTATTTTGCGGATTTATATAGACAAAAATATAAATATTTTATTTTATACTCCATCTCATCCATTCCATATAATTTGTTTATATTTTTTATTTTTGTCTGTTAATTTATCTTTTCTTTTAAATATAATAATATAATTTTATCATATTTTAAATTTTAAATTTTATAATTTTTTTAATTTTAACTAAACTATTTAGTTATCTTAACTTTAATTTATAATTATTTTTGCTGATAAACTTTTAAATTATTTACTAATTATATTTTACCTAAATATTCGTATTTATAGTAATATATTTATATTACATGGGACGGAAACGGTACAACATTATATAAATACAATTTTTTTTTTAAATATTTATTATAAAAATTGTAATTGTTACTTTTTTAATGCTCTTTGGGTAAATTTCAACAATATCTAATATCTTATAAACTAGACCGACCATTTCGATTTTTATGACAAATATTGGTTCCTGTTTGGTCTTGTCATTAAAATTTTAAAAATTAAAATTGAAGTAAAGCATTAATTTTGTGGTTGTTTTGTGAAATAGTTTAAAGAAATTTCTTTTATATAAAATACAAAAATTATGTAGATAATATAAAAAATAATAAATATGTGTAATATGTTAATTTTAAGAAAAAATATATATATATAAAAGAAAAACTAAAAGAATACACCAATATATAAGATGTCATTTGAATAAACAAATAAATATAAAAAGTATGAATAAAAATAATAATCATTTGATATAAATAATAATTTGAAGGATGTCTTTCTTTATCCTTCAAATTTGAAGGGTGTGTTTGGCTGTGAATTTGGAGTTTTGGATTTATAAATAATAAAATGTTGAATTTTAATTATTATTTGATGTAATATAAATAGTTATATATATAAAAATAATAATTATTTGATATAATATTTTAGAGTGAAAAAAGAATTTGAAAAGTAAAAATCTGTAGTAAAACTTTTTTTTAAAAGAGAAAACCTAAATTTCTCCTATTTGGAACTAAGAGGGCATAGAGAAGACAGTAAAGAATGAAATTACGCACAAAAAGAATTGAGTAAAAAATGAGAATTTTTAAAATAAAGAATTAAGTTAAAAAATATAAAAAAAATATATAGCTATCTAAATAGATTAAACAAAAATAAATAATTAATCGGATAAAACAGAGTTTCAACTAATAAAAATTTATGAAAAAAATATTTTTGCTGATTTTTTTTTATAAAAAATTTATAAATTATATACAATATTTTTGTAAAATCATAAAAATTAAATACTTAAATAATAAATTAAATATAATATTTGTAAAAGCTAAAAAGTTCTAAAAAAATACTGTAACATTTATTTCTCTCAATTTATGGGGGAAAAAAATGAGAATAGCGAAATCAAAATAAATTATTCTGGAACTATTCTGTACATTCTTTTTTTAAATATTCATTTTCTTTTATTAAAAATTTTCAAACGTCAGAAACACATAATAGATATAGATATAAATATTATATATAGAGAGAGAAAGAGAATTACTGAAAGTGGCGGATCCTCGCAGGGTCGAACCCTCGCCGACGCTTCTGCCGGCGGTAATAACGGTCAAGTACTTCCCTTCTCCGATCAACGTTATTCCATCCTTCTTACAATATATCCTCTCCTCATACCTCCCGGCCTTCACAAATATCACGAACCGCCCGCCGCCGGCGGCCTCCACCGCCGCCGCCACCGTCTTGTAGTTCCCGCTGCCGTCCTTCGCCACCACCGCGTTCGCCCGAACCGGCCCGGTCGCCTGGAGAAGCCGCCGTTCAGCCGCCGACAACCAGCTCGGAAACTCAGCCCGCAGGAGCCGCCGCCCTGACGGCTTCGCCGGCGGCTTTCCGGCGCTGATCCGATTCGCTAGTGCTAACGCATTGCTGGCCAATTGGCTGAGCTGAGCCATTTTCCGGTGGATTTTTGCGGCGGCGCCGCCCGATGGGAGGTGTTCTGCAACGGCGTCTCGACAGGACTCCTGGAAGGTCATGGCGGCGCTGAGCCATGTCTGGATGTCGGCTTTGTGGGTTTCGGGAGCCGCCGTTTGAAGAGCCGCCATGGCTTGTTTCAGCCGTTTTGAAGACATTTCCATCAGCTCCTTACAATTATCTGAAATAAAAAAAACAAAAAAAATTGTAAGAAAGTTACTCATAAATCACCTTTTTTTTTTGGAAAAAAAGTATTTTATGTAGGAAATATTATTTTCAATTTATAATACTATTATATTATATCTAAACATTTTTTTAATATTATAAATAATATTCATTTTTTAACAAATAATTCAAAACAGTGATAAGTTTACTTTTGAACGTTGTTCATATTATTTATCACTTTTCTTTCTTTAATTATCAAATTATATATTTTTTTTATGGTGCTCAATAATAATAATAATAACAATCTATTCAATTATAAGACTAAAATATAATAATATAAAATTACATTATAAAAAGGAAAGTACTTGACTTTGAGTTAAGTCATTATGGTCACAATCATCATTAAACATATATTTATATAATATTATATTATATAATATATATTATAGAATTATTTGACTTAAAAGTCTTCTTTTTTTTCAATTATCATTTTATTTTTTTTTATTATATAATAATTTATAAAGTATATATTTTATAAAATATAATATATACAAGTTATTATTCAAATATAAAAATAAATAAACAAAAAAACTAAATTATAAAAAAATACTATATTGGTGACAAACATACTATAAATAATTACTATTATTAGAAAATAAAACAATAATAACTATACGATAGAATGACGTTTACCATTAATAGAAAAAAATACTGATACGAATTATAAATCAATCACATCTTAATATCAACAAGAATATTAAGACAATAACAGATAAAACTTACACGGCGCAACACGTATAATACAAAAACGACAAAAAATAATTCAAACAGTATATGAAAAAAGGTTTAACTAAAAATTAATCAGCTTACCAAAAGTGTCATAAGTGTCGGAGGTGACACTTTCAGCTAAAAACTCGAACAGGTTGTTGTAAGAAGCATAGGGCAACGTGGTTTCGGAGATTGTCTTGTTGACAAGGGTAGACAAGAAATTAACGTTATGATTATCGAATCCTATGTTAGATAGGGTTCGGACACATAGGGCCGGGTATCTTGTATATCCACACTCGTTTCTTACCGATTCTTCGGAGACATTAAGGTTGTTTGCCAAACAAGTCCCTTCACTTGACACTAATGCTAAAACCCACATCAAGATTAGTATGTTCATCTTGTTTTTTCTTTTTTTTTTTTTTTAGAGTGAGAGAAGAGAGAGGAAACAATGAGAGATTGATGAAGTTCTTGTTTGTGTGTTTTGTCTAAGTAGGGAATGAGAGAATTAGGGGTTTTATAGAAAATAATAATAATAATAATAATAATAATAATAATAATAATAAATAATTTTTTTAAAAAAGGTGGATTATTGAATTTTCCATGAATTATTATTATTATCATTATTATTTATTATTATAAAAATATTGTTTCAAAAGAAATTTGGAGTTTGGTTAAGAGTCAATTTGTTAGGGAGATAGATTAGGCTTTGTATTTATTATTATTATTATTATTTTTATTATTTGTTGATTATGACAAACACTTCTAATATTATGTTATTTTCATTTCAATATTTTTATTTTTTAGTTTTACTTTTGATACATTTTTTTTTTCAGTATAATTTTAATGTTATTTTTCACTATTTCATATATCTTATTGTTTGTGTGAAATATTTTTGTAAATAAGATTTTAAAATGATAAAAGTATAATATATATTACACAAAAACACTTATTTTTATTTATTTATTATTATTTTATTTTTTTTCAATTGCATGCACGTGACATGCAATCTCTCACCACTAAGAAAATCCCATGCATAATTCATCTACTAAGTAAAGTAGATATTTATTTTCTTTAGTTTAAACAATATATAAAATATTAGCATTTTCATTTTAATTTATAGAATCATCTATCCATATTTGATTGCATAATTTATGTATTTATATATATATACATATGTATGAAAATTTTATTTTATTGTAATTTTTTGTTTTAAGTATAAAATTTTGTAAACCATTTCAACTGACAAGATGGTAATTAAACAATAAATTTATGTTAAAATATAAATAATATATTTTTTATATATAAAAAAAAATTGAATTTTAATTTAAATTGTATTCCTATATAATATTTCGTAAGAAAAAATTATACTCCCTCCGTCCCAATACAATAGTCTTGTTTACTATTTTTTTCCATCTCAAAACAATAGTCTTATTTCCATAAATAACCATATCACTATATAACTACCCTTACTCTTTCATTATTATTACACAATTGCCACTACATTTTACACTAATACACTCACAAGGGCAAAAGTGTCTTTTACTTACATTTTTACCCAATATCAATATAATATCAATATTCCTTAAATCTCGTGCCCAACACAACCAAGACTATTGTTCCGGAGACGGAGGGAGTATATTTTTTAATTGATATTTGTAATAGTTAAAACAAACAAACAAAAATTATAAGGAGAATTCTTCTTCTTTATGTTTGTTATGTAACATAAAATAATTATATCTTTTTTCCTATTATTATTATTATTATTATTATTAATGCGTAACCTTACCCGTTACCACTCTTGAAAGCAATAATTAATGAAAAATTTGATAAATATTAATTTATTAATTGTTAAATTTTCAATCATATCATTTTGATTATACAATTGAGGTTAAACAGTTAGGTAGTGCAATTATTTTGTGTATGAACAAGAATTGATTTTCAGCTTGTCAATTTTTAAACAAATTGAAAATAATAAAAAAATATATTAATAAGTGTAAATATATTATGATATAATTTATCCAGCTGTCAAATAATAATAATAAAAATACTACTACTACTACAAAATAATAATAATAATGTGACAGCGATCTGCATTTTTTATAAAATATTTGAATATTGAAATAGGGGAAAATAGAAGTGTAAATAAATATATATTTTTCTTTCTCTCTTTTTTTTTTTTTTAAAAAGAAAATATTGTATACTCCCTCCGTCCCGGTGCAAGGTTGTCGTTTATTTTTTGCACATAGATTTTTTAATATTAGTATTATAATGGGTCGTAGTAAAAAAGACGAAAATACCCCTATTAGTATTGTGTAATATAAAAATAATAGCATGTGTGTAATATAGTGTGAGTTGGAAGGATATTTATTATATTAAGTAGGTTGTACAATTTACTAAATTAGGAAATTGTAACCTTATTTTGGGACGGACGAAAATGAAAAATGACAACCTTTCAATGGGACGGAGAAAGTATAACAATTATGGTTTAAAATTGATTAAAATGAGACAATAATTTGAGTTTCTATTTAAATAATATTATAACGTAATATTTTATGAAAAAAAATAATATTTTTTTATTAAAAATTGTACAAGTAATTGATTTTTTACTATGCAGCCACAATCAAATCTACTCAATTTTCATATGAAATGTTTTATTCAACAACAATTTTTCTAAAAAATCAAAGTTTTATAATGTTTTTAAAATTTGGATTATTATACTCCCTCCGTCCCAGAACTATAGTCTATGTTGGATTTGGCACGAGATTTAATAAATATTAATATTATATTCGTAGTGGGTAAAAAATACGTATAAATGACTTTTTTGCCCTTGTGAGTATATTAGTGGCAATTGTGTAATAATAATGAAAAAGTAAAAGTAGTTTTAAAGTGATATGGTTATTTATGAAAATAAAACTATTGTTTTGAGACGGACAAAAATAGTGAATAGGACTATTGTATTGAGATGGAGGGAGTATTATTCATTGAAAAATATATATATAACAATATTTTGAGAAATCTTAATATTATTTGAGCGGATAATTTTTATTATTTTATAAATATTTATTTGAGAAAAAATAATATATATTTACTATAATAATATGAGTAAAATAATCATATTGAGAATCGTATATATTCTAAAAAATAGATCCTAAAACACACACACAATAATAGGAATAATAATAATAATAATAATAATAATAATAATAATAATAATAATAATAAAAAAATAAATAATAACACAACCATGAATATATGTGTGTATATATTGATTATTTAGATTCCAATATAATAATATTTCATGTATTCAATATACTAATAATAATAGTAATAATAATAATAATATATTTAATTTTAATTAGATTAATTTATTATTTTTTCAATACATAATTATTTATATTATATTGTAATTATTTTTTTAAATATATTTTTAATTATATATTAATCATGATATTCTTTAATTTATGTATCTAAAGGAACGTTATATGTAATATTTAAGAATAGTAAAAAATTAATATTTTATGATATATTTTGTAAGATAAAAAAAAAATAATGAATGAAATATTTTCGAAAAAGAAAATTGAATAGTACCAAAATTTGAAAGTTATATTTGTCTCCGAATCTACATCGAAAGTTTCTATCAATTTTAAGATTACTTCATTTTCTGATCAAGTCGACGGATAATCTAAAGAAGACAAATTGATTTGTGTTTTGGTTTGAATTATTTTATTTTTATTTTACGTAAATAATATTTTATTAAAAAATATTATATTTTAATTAAAAATCATATGGACCGAATAGTATAAATTTGGTTATGATCAAAATGCAATCAAAGCCACATGCTTTTTTTCTTTTAGGGAGTCTTTGTATGGAAGATTGAATGTTAAATACATTATTCATTTCATTTTTCTCCTAAAAAGTATCAAATTAAATACCTATTTTTTATTTTTTATATTATAATAAAAATCAATTTTACATTCAAAATATCACATCAACACCTATTTTTTATATCACATCATACAACTATTCAAATTCAAAATTTTTACTATTTATTTCCCAATTCAAAATCCAAATCCCAAACCAAACACACCCTAAAAATTTAGAACAGTGCTAATATAATATTTATTAATATAATACAAATACAATATATGAATGGATACTATATTACTCTCTTTGTTCCATAAATATAGTCTTAATTGGGTTGAGTACGAGATCTAAAAAATATTGATATTATATTGGTAGTTGGTCAAATATACGAATAAAAAACTTTTTTTGCCCTTATGTATATTAGTGTAAAAAGTAGTGGTGTAATTCAAATGAAAAAATATGGATAATTTAATGGTGATATGATTATTTGTGAATATAAGACTATTATTTTGAAACGGACAAAAATAGTACACAAGACTATTGTATTGGAACGGAGATAGTATAATTTTATACAGTACATTTTATCATTTACTCCCTCCGTCCACGGATAAAGTATACATTTACTTTTGAAGCAGAGTTTAAGAAATAATAATATTTTAATTATAGTGGGTAGGTAAAAGTAGTGTAATGGCATTTTTGCCATTGCTTTTTTGTATAAAAGTAATGATGTGATGTAAATTAAGAGTATTTGTGGAAAAAAAAAGGGATATTTAATGAAATAGTTACTTTATAATTGGACGTCCCAAAATAGAAATATGTATACTTTGTAGCCGAATGAAGGGAGTATTTCGTAACAACAAATGTATTCATATAGTGCACATATAAATTTCAATTGACAATACATTTTTTATTTTTTATTTTAATTTCACATGTAATATAATAAATAAAAGTTATATATTATTCTAAATACTTATATGTACCGATTGAGACAAATAATCTCATCACGTTCGCTATATATATATATATATAGACATGGAATTAATTACTATTGTTTGAATAGTTAGAATTAGATCCGTTGCTTAACTTGTTGGATTATATTATAAAATAAAATAAAATAAAATAATTCCAATTGGATTACTATTGCACTTGATTAAATTTTGGGCGTGATTGGCAATTAATTGATTCGATTAGCTGTTTGTATTAAAATATTTGGTAAAATAACTGTTTGATATTAGTTGTTTATACGTAAATGGCAATTAATGATATTTTTATTTTATTTTTTTTTTATAATATATTCAATTACGTTCTTTTGAGTTTAGAATGTTTGAAATTTTTTGTTATTAGTTATTGAAAATTGTAAAAGTGTTATAAAAATATTTATTTTTATTATAGTTAAATTTAAAATAATATATTTTTATTGAAATATATAAATACTTTTTTCTATTGAAAATGATGTAAAATATAAAATAATAAACTTTTCGTGTATATATTTATTATGTTAGTTTTCGATTAGTTCATTATATTTATAATTTTTAATAAATTTAATTTATTTTTAGTATAAAATATATATAATGTAATTTTAATATAAAATAAATTATTAATATATATATTT